TACATTACAGAAAATTATGAACTTTATCACAATATGCAAATTTTTTGAGAAGGACCTGTAGACTCTTGGCAGAACTTCAACTTTCATTTATAATACTGCTTTTAGTCACGACGTCAGTAAAGCAACATGCAAATAATAATTTGATTAACTGATACACTGCTTTGTTGGGGAACTGATCACTGCTTGTTGTCTTCTGTCCCGTTTCACTCTCGCTTGGCAACAAGCCAAGGAGGCACCATAACACATATATATTAATCTGTCTTCAACATTTAGACTGCACTCTATGTTAGCTGCACTGCTGTTGATCACATGATAATAGGAACACATCTGACAACATCAAACTTTTGTTATTTATCATGAACATGTAAACCTTTTTCTATTTCCTCACGTACAAGAGTATAACTGCTGAAAGTCTATTATGGTCTTGGCTGTTGTATTTTCAGAAAAAAATATATTCTCCAGCACAGTTTTTTTCAGAACTGCAGAAGTAGATGGGGGGGGGGGTCACATTTTTGTTACCTATGAAAAATGTGTTTTATTTTTTGTCCTTGGGACTCACTGCCCAGCATGTTTATCTTGTTCGCCGCTTCAACACACCTGGTTGAAATAAAAGGGTCATTAATAGGCTTCTGCAGAACTTGATGACAAGTTAATGAGGTGATCCATTCATTTGAATGGGGTCTTACGAGCGCAGGCAAATGTCTAAAACATGCTGAACACCACGCCTCGAGGGCAAAGAATGAAAAAACACCACCTAACAACAAATAATGTACAGCCTGTTCAAAAACACGTCGAGTTTTCCTCCTAGCCCAGAGTTTACACATTAACCCTTTCACAGTCCACCACATTAGCCTGTAATTGTAAACGTTGTACACAGTATTTAGTTGTTTGACATAGAGTTAGATAAGACAACTAGACTGTACTGCCTACTGCCTGCATCTGTCACATGGAGAAGCTAATGGCGCCCGGAAAGGGCAAGAGCTCACAGCTGACAAAACAACTATTTAATTAGCAGCAAGTCCTGCTGGATCTTTGTCACAAATTATTTTTGTATCTTTTTACAATAAATTAGTATAACGCATGATAATGATTCCATTCAACAATGATGTAAAACRCAATGTAAATGAATATTACACAAGGAAAACATACAGCAGCCGTTATAACTTATGATGAACTAAACTAAACTCAATGTTAGTCAATAATTACTGTGACTTCTAATAATTTCAAGACTTATTAGCTAGTTGAATAATCATACTAACTTTTTTAATGAATTAACTTGCAATTAACTTGTTTAACATGTAAATTATGTAGGATCTTCCTGTCACAGTTAATTACAGTGATCAGTGTCTAATCTATAACTAAACTTAAACATTTTCAGAAAAATGCAGAAATTTTACACTGTGTGAATGTTACAACAACCGGAGGCAATACCAGCTTTGTACTATTTAATAATTTGTACTAATCTGTAGCATAATTCAGCCTGCTAGACTCTGTATAATAACATATGCCACAGAAGCTACTGTCTACAAGCCATTACAATAACTAACAGCAATGTCTGGCAATTTTACATTTTTATACCCATTCTGTAGCTTATATACATTCATTTTTTTTAATTTATTTATTTTTATTAACCCCTAATGTCCCTCAGTGGGGAAATGCATTCTCTGCATTTTTCCCATCACATGTGAGCACACGTGCCGCAGTGGGCTGCCATTTTTGAGGCACCCGGGGAGCAAGTTGAGAGGTTAAGTGCCTTGCTCAGGTTGGTTAGGGGAGTTGAACCAGCAACCTTCAGATCACATGCTTACCTCTAACCTCTGCATCACACACAATTAATTGTTATTTATTTATTTATTTATTTATTTATTTATTTTACATTTTTCACATTACTCCAGACAGTCAAAATCTACCAAAACGCCTTTTACATGTTTGTGACGTGATTCGTGTCATGTGAAGTTGGGATGGATCGGGTRTTTAAATGTTTTATATTGTATTTATTGTTTCTTATCCAACCACAGTTAAATTTACTCGATCCAAGAGGTGCAGTTTATCTGGATAGGTTGTTATTTTTTGAACAATATGCCAAAAGGAAATGGGAGTAATGACTTTTAACGTCATATCTTTTTTCAAGAGGTCCAGAAAATTGTGTGAAAATGTTGCGAGTAGAAAAAGCTGACTGAAAATTATTACTCAAATACAGATACATTTCTACATAAGTACAGTAACAAAGTATTTGTACTTTGTTACTTTACAATACTTTTTTTGCTTTTGTGTCAATGATTACCACAAGTCTTTAGAGACACATTTCCATTGTTGCTGAAAACTAAGAGCAAGCCATGATTAAATGCTTATCATGTTAAATTTAATCTAACATTTTTGGCACATATTGATGTAAAAGAGCAAAGCTCACCAGTGATGAGGAGCCTCCCAGTTGTGCTTGCTGTTCCAAACTGGTTCTTAGCCATGCACGTGTAGCTCGCTGCGTCTCGTTTGGTTACGTTGCTGATTTTTAATGTTCCATTTGAAAACACATTAATCCTGTGGAAGCAAAAACAAGCTTTTATTGGTGTGAGTTTAACGGCTTAGCTTGGCATTACATTTGTTGCATCAGTTTATACTGACRTTAGTGCATTTATAAGTTCAGATTGTTTTAAAATGATCTTCAGCTAAGTTGTTAAGTTGTGTTTATAAGGCCAATTTGTTTYAAAAATGAGAAAACCCAAGTTAAACAACACTTTGACTCTGATTATACTTCAATGCTCTTTGTTAAATCTCAGAGAATAAAACTTTTATAGGTAGGTTAGCAGTTAAACTGTGAAATGCCTTACAAAATAAAAGCACAATTTAAAAAGAGCCTTTTTTTAACACTCCAATAAATAAATAAAACAACTTTAAAGTCTTTATGTTGCTGATGTCAGGAGAAACCAAGATCCTGGAAACGAAACAAATCTGAACACAGTATTACATGAAATAAGTACTACTAAAAAAATAAAGATACATCAATGTTCAAGGTCTAAACAGGAAATATATTATCTAATAAAACTAAAGCATTTCCAAACGTTTTACCAGTTTTTAGCACTGCTGTCTAAATAAAACATGTAAAAATTGTTATAAGAACATCAGCTCTGCCACCAGCAGCAGCTGGAGACATAAGTAACTGCACTATATGAACAACTTCTGCCTGCAAGCGTTATTTAACCTTAATTACAAAATCCTGCTTAGCTAAAAGCCTTTCACACTGCAGGAAGTTATAGAATAAAACCCGTGTCTACAGGTGTGTCGCACTGCTAATGAAATACTTTTCATACTGCATCAATTTGTAACACTGCTGCATATCTGAACACTTTCTTTTTGCACTTTCAAAGAGAACGTGGGCTTCACACATGCTATGTTAAATGTCAGTCCGTCGGGGAATTCTACCAATTATCTGCAGCTATGGATGCAGCTTCCYATCCGGAGCCTCAGTGCTGTTTGGACACGACGCTTTGCTCGCATTGTTCTTTCTCAGAACGCCTCGCAATGAGCAGCATGGGAGTGATTCAAACTCTTTTTTTTTTTCTATGCGCAGGGATGCCTTTGCTGGGGTTGTTTTTATTCAGTCACCATGCGCCGACTTGCTTGAATGTATGTTGATGGACCGATCTAATGTGTGTCTGATTTGCTTTTGGAATCCTCCGCCTTTAATTTGTCCTTTCCTTTTATGTGAACCCATCCTGAGTAGGAAATCAGACCACGGCTGAGCAACAAAATAAATTAAGCACCACTTTCTGGRGTTGAAAGTGCCGCTTGATGTTGCTCATTGTCTGAATCATGTCAGCGTGGAGAGGTTCCATGTCCTGTGAGACGTTTCGGCTCTCCAGGCTTTCATTTCTGCAGCTTTCCAGATTTCATCAATCACTCTCCCGTGTCTCTTTTTAAACCTCATAAAGCAGATAATTGCAGGTGCAAAAGCATCAGTTTGGCTTTTCAGATTACTTTCCGCTGACTAAAAGTGGATCGACATCATTTTCATCAGTGATTCAATTTGCCGATCCTTTTCTTCCCCCCCTTAAACATTTAACACATGCAGTGTTGATCCAACCACCTGGCATCTGCACAGCTCACACCAAATCATTTCCATATGAAGGCACACGCACTACATTAAATACAGTTTGTGCAATTTTCCTGGTGAGTACCCTGCTCCCTTTCTTCTCATTAGTCTTCCCTTTTATGCATTCACACAAATGCCAAATACACTGGTGAAATTAATCTGCTTGCAGTGAATGTGAATAAAAGCTTGTGGGAATGTGCACTTAGATTCTTATCCTACCTTTCAGTTCTTTGCAGGATCTCATTCCCTTTCTTCCACAGGCTAATTGCTGGGGGCGAGGCCTGAGGCTTGCATTCAAGAGTGACTTCGCTGCCGGAGCGAGCTTTTACCAAGGTCTTTAATGGACTTCTGGAAAAACTGGGAGCTGAAGCTTTGTGTACAAGAAAAGAGAGAAGGTGTGAGATTAAAACAAAGAGAAAACGTGAGATTTTTCCCGATATTAAAATAATGTTTTTAGGACTTCCTTCAGCTTTCAGAAGCTTGAACTCTCAGGACAGAGGCTTTCAGGGCTGAAGGCTGTGGCACACTGGTCACCCTGTCCTTCAGCTTCAGGCAAACACAAACACACACACCCACACACACAGCATCCGGCCTCATCATATCTCCAGTCAGCAGCCAGTGTCCACATTCATCATCACATTTAAGCTAGCCATCATTAGACCCCTCAAGTGTCATCACATGTACCAAGAGAGAATTGAATTTCTCATGGAGCCAGCCATCAAAGCTTTGCAAATAAATCAATACCGGGTGTACACGAGAAAGCATGAACAATGCCACAAGGCAACGTGTTTGTAGTATCCAAATCAATAGATGAAATGACTGAAAGTAAAATGAGACACTCTATCAGATTCATAATCTTGCTGGCAGAGCCCACGTTGACATCAAATGAATGTGCAGGCTGATTTCTGAGGAACATTAGAGCGGGCAGCTTTTTATCTTAGCAGATGATCAAACGCTCGCACAGAGAAGCTGAATAAAAGCAGAAGAAGGGAGGCAATCTTACCTAACACCATTAGCTGGGCACTGGAGTAAACACTGCCATGTTTGTTTTCAGCCACACACTGATACATCCCGGAATCTGACAGGTTCAACGCAGTTATGGAAAGGGCTCCATTTTCGATTTGTACACGCTCCTGCAGAGTAAAGAGAAACAATTCTACTYATCCACCGCAAGGCCAGCCTATTGTGTCTAAAGGCACAGCAGCAATTATTATTCTTATTTGTGCACCATGAAGGGAGAACAGAAAAGGAGAAAAAAAAAACTACAGAGTATTGTGTCACCACATGTACATTCTGCTTAGAATAGATGAGGCAGTGTTGAAAACTGTGAACTTGCATCTTAGACAAATAAATTAAGCAATGCTGGCAAAAGCACAGAGTGCGATAAAATGTCATTCTTTTTTTGGCATTCAGCCATAAAAACTACGATGGCAGCTCAGATGATGATGACTTATTTGAGCCAAATACACTAAATAAAAGGATCATCAGCACAGCAGGGGGGAAAAAATGATTCGCTAATTTTACGCCAGCAATAGAGTAGCCAACATATAAAAAAATAAATGTGCAATGAGCCTGACAGAAATATACCAACATGCATACTCATACTGTAGTACATTTGACTGATCTCAGTCTAATTAAGTAAGTAAACTTTATTTCTATTTAACTTTTCACAGACACAAACATCACAAAGTGCTTCACAGAGATCAAAATAACTAAAACCAGATCAAATCAGTCTATTAAATTCCCATTAAAATAAAATGTTTTCTTTTTCCTTTGGCATCTCACAGAAGGTGAACTATGACCTGTTATGGTCAAAGGTTTTCTACTGCTAATTTTTCCAATGTGAGCACAACTCCTAGACTGGTTATAAAATCAAATAAAAATAAATAATAATAATAATTAAATACATTAACAAATAGTGAATGAAGTTATTTTAAGGATGCAACATCTCCAAGTATCCAAATCTTAGGACCAAAGACCAAATGAAGCCTTATACCTCTGAGGTTATTGTAATTACATTATTTAAATAGGTCTGCAACTGTAGACGACCCCAAAGGATAAACAAATCCCCAACAGACATTTTACCTCTTTGGGATTGGTTAGCAATATCATCACTCATTTTATTCAGTCTGTATAAAGTGCAATATGTATGATGAAAAATATTAAATTGAATTTGTCTATTTAGTAGATACCAATACTATCT